TCTATCAGCGCTTCTTTTTCCCAGATAACAGTTAAATAGTTATGGTGCAACCAGAAGAAATGTACAAATGTCAGAATAACATACAGGAAGGATTTCAATGCCTCAATTTGAATAATGCTAAATGTCTGCGATATCGGTGCCAGAGCTCAGTTGGAGGCCAAAGCCAGCAGCATGGGAAATCTGCTTCTCCTGATTTACAATAAGCTTCCTCCTTAGCAGATGCTCCTATCACCTCATATTTTTATCTTGAAAGATTAGACTACATTGGATGATGTGAGCATGAACATGAATGAGCATGATTTGAGCACCTTGGTGAATTGGTGAATGCATTGGTGTGTTAATGGCTACTAGACTGAGATCCTAATTTGCCAGTCGAGTCTGCGCTGTGGCAGCGTGGACTGTAGGGCAGAAGTGAGAGTGTGACCTTTTTTTGCATAGACTTGATTCTTGCTGCCTCAGCTTGGCGTTCTCTCCTTGGATGCCCCTGCCAGGCGCTCGCTATGGCCATTTTGCTACCATGCCAGTGTTGTGCTTGGCCAGATCTAGGAAGAACTGAAGTGTTGGCAGCACGAAAATCTTCAAGCACACACACACACACACACACACACACACACACACACACACACACACACACACACACACACACAAACACACACACACACACACACACACACACACACAGGTGTACTGATTTTGGATTCAAGTTTAATATGACTGTTTTAGGTTGTTTATAAATGATTTGCTGATATGTAGCACACACAACATTTTCATGGTACCGCTTTCTAATTAAGAATACTTAAGCAGAGCTCTGTCCAAAGTATAAAAAATCACCTACCAGCACCTTAAGCTCACTAAGTAACATGTTGCATCTTGTTTGTTTAATCTGTACACAGACAGTGTGGTTTTACAGGGCTTTACACGCTAAAACTAGGCTGTTTCTTTGTCCAAACTCACTCCGCTCGTTCACCACTTCCTATTTACAACACTCGATAGTTTACTCAATATTGAGCAGTTAATTGTGATTTCACACTTACTAATCATCATCATTTTGCATCATCACTAACAGCTATAGAGACGTGCAACTCTAATTCTGCAGATCTAACCAGATCAGGAGCACCTGAGCCAAGTGCTCTACAGAAAATAAAAAACCTCGCTGTACTCGCTGTGTTCTTATCATGACCTATGAGCTGGGTTATGAGAAAACAGGGGCTTGCCTGTTTTGCAACTGTTTGTCGACTGTATGTCAAGGAATCTAGTTGAAACATTTAATTAGATTTGTTGAAAGTAGGTTTTGTAGCTCTGGGCTTTAGTAACCATTTGCGTGTTTTGATGTGTTTGGCTGTCAAAGTCCAGTTAGTTTGGTGCGTTGCAGCTCAATTAAAATCCTAAAAATGGACCTTTGAACGTATCCTATGTTGTTATTATGTTGGTTTGGCAGTAGTGTTTCCTTCAGCATATGTTTTCTGAGTTGATGTGCGGTGTCAGCACATCCCAGTTCCTTTGTTTGCTTTGGTGGTAAGCATTTGTTTGCTCATTCATGAATGTATGTTGTGACTGAGGGAAAGTGCACTGTGCATTTTGCCTGTCTGAACAGGGTAAGTAGGATGATTCGTGTGGAGTTTTGTGCATGCCTGTTTTGAATAAATTTGTAGGTGGGTTTTCTTACCTCAGGCTTGGTGGGGGAAATTTCTAGTCCAGTCGTTGTTGCTGGTACATTTGGGCCAGGTGACGGCTGTTGGTCCTCACAGGTATATTATTTATACAGTGGTGCAGAGTCACCTGCAATGGTGTTTGGGTTTGTTGAGCTGATCTTGTGTAGTGTACGTGACTAAAGCTTTGCTTGAAAGCACCGTCAGAGATATCCTTTTTGGTTTGGCAACATTCTACTCACACTGATTGTATAGAGCATGACACTGAAATCGGAGATGCACAGCCAATTAAACAGCTGATGTCACCAGAGAAACTCATCTAAACTTGCTTGCATTCTTGAAAATAACATTGCTGTGCCGCCATTGTCTAGTTGGGTCTCCCCTTGCATTTTGGTAACAAAATGCCTAGATCTGTACAGATTTGAAAAGTGAATTTGTTCACGAAACCAGCAAAAGGTAGCGTGCATGCCATGGACACTACTTTTTTTGTTTTATTGTGGAATTTTTGAGGACACTGTAGACAGGTTTCTGTGCAACGAGATGCGCTCGCAACCAGAAGGCAGAAAGCAGCTCTGTCTGCGGCACATCAGTTTATAAGGCATATCTAGCAGCACTTTACTTATTACTGGGTATTAAAAGTAAATAGTCACATTATTCGTTCCATTACAATTACTTTCAACTACCGCACCCCAACCTTAAAAGTCACAGGAAACCTGTCCAGCAGCACATTTTAGAAATGAATCCACTTTACTGGAACAATGATTAACCTGAGGAGTCAACAACCAGCCGAACTGAAAATACTGCAGCCTCTCAGACCAGGGGATACTGTATCATATAGGGTAAGGATATGGGCTATTTAAAAATAATAAAAAACAAAGCAGATCACTCCCAACAATGTAACTGATCACGTATTCATAACAGCATCAATGAGAATAATTTTTACAAAGCATATAATGTTTTTTAATGCCACTGTCTGAGATAAAAAAAAATCAAGCAATTGTCTCGACCTTTGAACTAACGTTACTGTTTTGCACTCATAACAGAAGTATTCAGTACTTTTACAAAACACAAAACGTTGATTAACACCACTCTGTCCTGCCGAGTGGATGCTTCACTGGCACTACCGGAGGTTCTTTCTACAGGCTTTTTCACATTTCTTAGCACATGCTTCAATACAAAATTGTTCGCAGTTGAAAGCTTTTTGCTGGTGTCACACCGTTTACGGAAGACCATGTTCTTTGCATCTCTGAGTGTGACACAGATAAGTTAGCCAAATGACAGTACTTACAGGTGTGGAAAGAACTCATCTCTACTTCGTTCTTCCTTTAGCTTTTTGGACAGCAGCTGTTATATTATTAATATATATGTATATATATATATATATATATATATATATATATATATATATATATATATATATATATATATATATATATATATATATATATATATATATATTAATATTAACTCTGAAATGGCAGTTTATTATTAAGTCAACAGCAATTTGTGAAATGTGTAATCTAAATTGATTACAGTGGTTGACTACAGTCTTCTGACAGGCAACCAAAGCGCTTTTGCCCCCTGGCTGCGTGCGCATCCAGTAGTGTTTGTATACAAGAAACCCGTCTATACAGGGTCTGAAATTAACTTTTTTCACTGCCTGCCCCTGTAGCAGGCAAGTAGTTTTTTCTGCCACTCAAATTTTATCAGCCACTTTTGAAATGTATGCCCTAAATGAAGGAATAACATTCAGCTTATTTAGGCATCATTTAATGTGAATGTTGTCATTGAGTGTTCAATACACAAATATGTGTTAGCTCCCGTACGCCGGCTGGTGCACTGCTGGCAGACTGTCACTCAGGATGGACTGTACCTCTTCCACTGGTGAGCTTGGTTTGAAACGCTGCCATTGATATTCCCTGAGCTGACTGGTGGTTGTGTGTGAGGCAGGCATGTACGCTGATTGCCACAATACACTAACCTACGTGTGTCTACATTTGTTTCTCTGTCTGCCAAAGTGGTGGATTGCCTGACGATTTTACCCACCACTGCCAACAACTCACCCGCATTTGGCGGGTGCTAATTTCAGACCCTGGCAGTATATAAAGGGGTGGTGATGGTGCAGTGGATAAGACACATGCCTTTGGTGTGAGACACCCGGGTTAAATTCCCCATGTGAGACATCCACCATTGTGTCCCTGAACAAGACACTTAACCTCTAGTTGACCCAGAGGCATGCGACGTCTGACGTGCTGAGCAAATGTATGTCGCTTTGGATAAAAGCGTCAGTTAATGAAAAAATGTAAATGTAAATAATGGATGGATTTAAACACTCAGAATTCAGACACTCCCCACACAGAGTGCACAGTAATTGGAGTCCACTATATAGTAAATAGGGAGTGATTTCAGACACAGACTTGGCAACCAGTTGCCAGGCACAGTGACTTCCTAGAGTCTCGCTGGTTGCCTGGAGATTCCAGAAACGTTGACAGAGCCAGGGTTGCTGTTTGCCAGATCCATCGTTCTTTACATAAGTCTTGGCAAGAACTTGAATTTCCCAAAATGCTTTATTGGTCAGTAAAAAGAATTTTGAATTCCTTTGGCTAATGTTTATCGTCCTCTAGCATGACCTCAGGAAGGTCTCTCTGAGTTCCAGGGCTACTAAAGAATGTTATAAGTAATATTGTTAATACTGTGCTATATTACAGAGAAATACAAAACCGTGATAATGTTTCTTTAAAATATACATTTTACAAGAGGCACGAAGCGAGCCGCCTGTTAAATGCTAATAGCAAAAGCAGTTATCATTCTGGTAAATCACCTGTGTATTCTCTGTTGTCAAGCTGGCCCCTGTTCACTGGGAGGCTGCTGATTGATTACAGGGCTGAATGTCATAGTGCAAGAACAGGTGTTCGGGGCATGGAGTGGGAATGAAAGAGATTCTCCCAATAAGTCAGTGTACCTTCAAACTGATTATGAAGCTGATCGTGGACATCAGGAGGAGTCCCCCCACTCTGCCTCCATCACCATTCTAAACAGCCCTGTAACTGCTTATGCAACCCTTCAGGTTTCTGGGATCCACTAAAGTGGGAGCCCAACACGGACACCCAGCATAGGAGGTACTTCTTGCGCCAGTTCAGGAAGCTCAACCTGCCTAAAGAGCTGCTCATCCACTTTTACACAGCCATCATCCAGTCTGTCCTCTGCACGTCCATCACTGTCTGGTTTGGATCTGCTACCAAAAAGGACAGGAGCAGATTACAACGGACAGTCAGGACTGCAGAAAAGATCATTGGTGCCAACCTGCCCCGTTCAGGACATACATCTTGAGAGTCAGGAAACGGGCAGGAAACATCACTGCAGCTCCATCTCACCCCGGACACAACCTGTTCCAGCTTCTCCTCTCTGGTAGGCTACAGAGCACTGTATGCCAAAACCAACAGACTCAGGAACAGTTTCTTCCCACAAGCCATCACTCTGATAAACAGCTAACTTCTGACACAGTTAGGAACAATTCCTTTCCAATAACCCAGTAACTCTGCCTCTAATCAACCACCTGTTTCCTGGTTATCACTTATTATTTATTCATCATTCTCTCGTTCTCTATTTCAGAGCTGTTCATATTGTCATATCCTATATTGTATATACTGTACTGTATACCTCAAGTACATAATACCTGGACATAATACTTATTTATTCCAGCATCCTTTGCACTATGCTCATTGCACTATTGTCTCAAGCTGTCTATACTGTTTTTGTTTACGACTGTATGTGTTTCTCTGTGCTTTCTCCTTGTTTTCTGCCCTAGTTCTGCCTCTGAAGTACTTCAGATGATTGCTGAACAAGGTCCACCTGGCCTTGGAAGGCGGGCTTTAAAAGCTCCTGTGCAAGCGTCAGAAAGGAGGCTTTTGATTTGGGACTGCTGGTCTTGCTGCCTCTCAGCTGGGACATTTTTGTGTTATGTTGTACTTTTTGGTGGTCTTAATTTATCGTCTTGTTATGTTAATAAATTCCCTTGATTTGGTTGTTTTAAAGGTGTTTGTGTGTTAAGTTTGGGTCAGTGTTGGGGTGTTGTTCGCCCCATGTTGCCACCAAAGGGTGGGGCGTAACAATATACGTGTTCTCTATACTGTAGCCTGTGTCTGATTGATTATTGTATAAGTAAGCACATCGTGAGCAATGTACAATCCAGAGTGAAATTCCTCGTATGTGTACACATACCTGGCAATAAAGTGGATTCTAATTCTGATTTGGAGATCAGAAGAGGATGTGCCACCCTGCCCAACATCCACCTGGCTCTCCACCCAACCACTGGCACCTGGGACCTTTTTGATGGAGTCCATCTACACAGAAAGAGGGTGAATATTTTCAACAAAAAAAAAGGGTCCTGGGATGCACTGCTCCCACCCCCTCCTCTAGCTTTAGACCTCCTGCTGGCTTCTATTCAGCTAAGATGTACGTATTCTGAACAAAGGAACATTATCAGCTCACCATATATAAAAGATTGCTAGATTTGCTTGATTAACACTCCATCTTGAGTAAAAATCGAATTGGCTTCCTCCCAAAACACCGACCATGTATATGCCCGTCACACTTTTACATAACAAACATGTGCACCAAAAAAAAAAATCGTAAGATATTCACTTGTTTTAATGATTTCAAGAAAGCTTTCGACTCTATTTGGCATTAAGGGCTCAATTACAGATTTCTGATATAGGGGCAAAATGTTTGATCAGGTTAAAACAGTGTATTTGGAAAAATGTGTGCTGTTAAAATTGGAGACAAACAAAGTGAATTCTTCACCCAGAGAAGAGCTGTTAGTCAGTGTTGCAAGTTTGACTTTATTTAATGTAAAAATTAACTTGCTGGTCAGTTAGATCATTGTGCTGCTTTCGGCCTCTCCCTCTTAGATAGAGAAGTCTCTGTTTTGAACAGATGACTGCTGTCTCCTACTGAGAAAGGACTGCAGTAACAGCTGGACAAAGTAATGTTATAACTGGATCATGGCACTAAGTATGAAGAATACTGATTTTCAAGAAACCAGATGTCAGGAGAACAAATACCAGTTTACCATAAATAATCATATCATTGAACATAGTATGAGTTATACCCACCTTGACATAACCATAACAGCATCAGGGAGTTTGAACATCACAGTAAATGCACTAAAAAAAAAAGATTGAAGAGCTCTAAATGCAGTTAAAGACAGAAAATTGGAATTTCCAAATCCCAATTCAGATCTTTTCAAACACCAACCAAAAGGGACTTTTCATAAATATGGCTTATTACTGATCTATATAACATCACCAAGTCAGTAGGAAGGATAATATTTTTAAACACTGACATTGGCTCTGTTTGAAACAGAAAGCAGTTGCCTCACTGCCTCGCTACCGTTATAGACAGGTGCCTCAGAAGGCATCACTTTCTAGTGAAGGCATCTCTGTGAGCATTGCTTTTGAACAGTCTTTTGGGCAGCATTTACAGCAACGAGTGACATCAGCCTGCCGTCTTGCATTTCTTCTGGCTTTCATGCAGTCACTAGCTTTAGCGTCAGCTAGCTAGCTATTGAACAAGCAAATGGCTATCAGACGCTTCAGAAATCATACTAAACAAACTTGGTTGGTTACAGTGACAGGCTAGTATGATAGTTCAGTGTTTAGTTCTCGCTAACTTTTTAAAAATCAAAGCGAAAAAACTACTAAAAACTTTAAAAAACTTATATTTGTAGAATTTACCAACTCAACTTCTCTCTCTGTGCTTTCCCATTCTTTGCATTCTCTCTCTCTCTTATGCAGCCACATTTTCACATATAGCTGCAAAAACACACACTCAAGCATGCATGCACACATATTATTAAATTTGAAGCTGATATTGCTTTTAAAGAGAATGTAGTTGCTCCTCAAGCTGAGGATGAGGTTCATCCTGTGGAGATATTTTAATGAGGGAACACTCATCTACATAAGCCAGTTAGCAGGAAGGAATATGTCACCTCATTTCATCCCTCACACTTCCTCTCATTTCTCACTCTTTCCCTCAATCTTTGTCAAAGCTTATTGACCTCTGAAACTTTAAATGAAAATTCATTAATTCATTATTTTTGCTTTGCTTTGCTATCCATTCCCCTTACACTTCCTCTCCTTCTTCAAGCTATATTCTACCTTTTATCTCTTTAGACAAACCGAACCCTGTTAGACTGTTAGGAGGGTTGGTATTCATTTTGTCTCTGTGTGTTCTTCGTTTATGTGTACTGGACCAGTCTGTCCAGTACATGTTTCTCAAAAAAACGTTCTTATTGGCATAATGTCTTCTTAGCTGCTACTTGACATTTAGTAGCTTAGCCTACATTCAAAATTGAGTTGGGTTTTGTTGTTTTGAGTTTTGAATTGGAGGTTGTGTGAACCTCATGACTTCACCATGAGGACTGGCCTTCTAGAGTGTGGCATGCAGTCACAAGGGCTAACATTAAGCTTGCTGTCAGTTTTTACAAGAATGACATGCAATCAGCTCTTTAAGTGTGTCTAGGCTACAGATACTTTCTAACATAAAGAGTGTGTGTGAAACAAAATAGTGATGAATGAAGGAAAGAAAGTGAAGGCTATGGCAAGCTGTTTTATTAGCTTGACTTAATATCTATTACTGGTATTTCCAATGTCATTTTGCCTAGTCAAAGCTCTAATTAATTTTAACTAATTGACCTTTCGCTAAGCCCCGCCCCCCTTAGTTACTGTTGCTAAGTCCGACAAACTGTTGGCACTACCACTGTCTATTACTGCACTCCCTGGAGAAATATTGTCTAATTTGTTAGAAAAAGCGATCTGAGAAAGAAGCAGACAGTTTTGCAGTTGAATTATACATTTGAAGGTTGTATTCAGGCTGTCAAACTGACTCAAACTGACTGAAATGGACGTGAAAAAAATGAAAGATAGAAGCTAAAGCCTACCAATCACACAGTACAAGTGAGCCACCACATCCCCCAACGATTGAGACAAAAGACAACGATATGAACGATCAACTGTTCCTGTATAGCTGGGTAGGCCTAGAATAAATCATCATTCTCCTTTCAACCTTTCTGGGTAGCTGCTGTGACTATTACAAGTGCCCCAGGAACAGTGTTTGACCAGATCTTAGGAAAATACAGCCAAAAAAAGCTAGAAAACGACTCCTTTTACATTAGAGTCAATGGAGCGCAGCCATGGAAATGTCGTACCTCAGTTAGAGAAGGTGCTATACTGCGCTGTGATTGGCCAGATGTGTATGCAGCTAACTACTGTTATCGGCAGCTACCAGTGCTACTATGTTAGCTTTTCAGTTAGCTGTGCAGCTTGCTTTCCTATTTCTGATTCTGCCAGGACTGGAAGCTTGGTGCTCCAGGGGTGTGTTGGTGTTTTCACCTCTAACATTAGTACGGAAGCATTGGAGACACCGCACTACACAGCCTATAGCTCTGGCTCTATGAGCTCCTATGACCAATAACTCTGGAACATGGGCTGGTCTATGTAGCTTTGGGGTATTTTATAGGCATTTAAATATGAAGGAGGAAACAATAGAGTATGAGGCTCACGGTATGTCAGTTACATGCACTGAAGTCTGTGCCAATGTAAATACAGTTTTCCATTCTACCGCCCCTTTAACTATTCAGAATGACATTTTAGATGTCTTAAACTGGAATTATGACTAGTAAAAATGTAATTACAAATATCTTGAATTAGAGTTTTTACTAGGCAAAATTACATTGCAGATACTACGTTACTTCAGAAGGAGGCGGGAGCAAAAAGCCGACAATGGAAGTAGCTAACGAGTCTTTCTCATCTCTGTTGAGTTCATTTCTACCACAACTCTCTTGTAAACAAATGAAGCTCTCATTTGCCAAAACTTCTTTGATAAATATAACTATTATTTGGAATAATCTGCTGCTTTAAGACTGAATGGCCAATCACTGGCCAGTAGGGGACGCATCTGCTGTTTTCCGCATGGCAATATGGAAGAGAGAGGCCAGCTTACCAGCAGCATGGAGAATAGCCAGCAGAAAGAGAACTCAAAGCATGCCAACAAGACCACCACATCCTCCTAGGCACATGCAAGGCAGCAGTGACATGCACTCCTCCACCCGTGTAGCAAAGGCCTGTATGTTGACCAACCAGAATACAACTGCAAAGTTTTCTTGAAGATCAGCAAGGTCATCATAAGGAACGGTGACTGGTCAATGGAGGCATAGGCTGTCCTAGATGATGGATCATAGCAGACCATTCTTCTTCATACCGCAGCAAAGAAGTTAGGTCTGAAAGGCAAGCCAGAAGAGTTGGCCCTCTGTTGGAGCTGCAGGTGCTTTATGGAGCAGCCGTTTCCTTCACCATATCCTGTGTAGGAGCCATACTGCCTGTTTTCCTCCAAGCCACAGGGGGCATGATATTGTGTTGTGTTGTAAGTCCAATGCTGGCCTCAGGTAGTTTAAGTTCCTGTATTGTTGCAAACAGGTGATTGTTATTTGAAGAAGAGGAGCAAACAGTAGTTAACTGTGCTTGGATTATTGTGCTCAGATTATGTTGTTTATTCTACTTTATATGACGTATTATTTATAAATTATAGGAAAAGACTGGGCATCGTTTTTCAGGGTACACGTTAGAAACAATAAATCAATTAGCAACCAGTAGCGGCTGACAATAGGGCATAGTCACTACATCCTGTGTGGCCGAAACAAAGAGAAAGTTAAAGATCCAGCCAAGCCTGCATTGACAACCAAGCAGCTGGGGCTGGCCGAGCACACCCATCCCGTCAATATACTGCAGCAGAAGTACAGACACTTAGCCAGGTTGCCTCTTCAGATGCTGGACAGAGTTCGACCAGTACTCTTCATTGGCTATCATTGCACACACCTCATAACACCCATACAGCCTGTACGAGTGGGCCCTCCTGGTGGGTCAGCAGCAGTAATGTATACCAGGAATGGACTCTACAAGGCCCAGCTCAAGACATGAAGCACAGCATCAATGCTTCACAGTGCCTCTTCATGTCCACATCATTTCCTATAGGCTTGTTCTTTCATGTGGAGAAATTGTGGCAGATGTAAACGCTTCCTTATTACAGTTGGCCATGAGATCATGCCAAGACAAGGAAGCTGTTCACCTCCTTCAAGA